ATTATTAATAATCAAATATCAACTATTAATCATCAATTGTATCGAAAAAGTTGATCTAAATAACCTCTGAATTTAATATGATGTATAGAAATTGACACACAATATTACCTAATAATTTTTTAAATGAGGCTACTGTTTGTAAAGAAACAGTGACGCCCATCCCCCGAATTCAGATCGTCGTTGATCTGCTACTCATGCTCTCAAAGAATATATAAAAATAAGAGGAATGCTAGCTGCACTCGCCTTTCTCCAGCACTCTCCAACACTCCCTCAGCTAAAATAGCCACGTGAACTTTTCTAGTTGGAAACTTTGAATTGCGAGCCAAATTTTGTTACGTGGACATTTTACATGAGAGAGTGTTGGAGAGTGCTGGAGAAAGGCGAGTGTAGCTAGCATTCCTCTAAAAATAATATTGCTAAAAAGAATCAAAAAATTTAAATACAAATAAACAACTATGCATGAACCGAGTCTTCAGGTTCAATAATTCGACCCCAAGCCTTAAGTGCTTGAGTGAGGTGGTCGGAGTTTCGAACCGTACCACTGTCGTGAATTTCATCAAAAAGCGACCTGATAGTCGCACGCCTTATTTGAGGAGGTGAGTGGAATATTCACCCAATCTGAGGATCGAATCACTAATTACTAACAACTAATTCGTACTAACTTCCTAACCATTACCCTTGTCTAAAAAAAAAAAAAACAACAATGCATGACCAAGGAAGGTGGAATTAATCAAAATAATATATAAGGCCCAAAAAAAAAAAAAGCCAAAAGAATATATGACCAGTGAAAGGTGAAAACACTACAAGAAAACTCACATTTAATAACTAAATTATTGATCATTAAATCTTTATTTTTCATCACAAATTATTATTAATGATAAAATTTAAACAGTTAATAAAACTCTTGCCACTAATACTCTTAGTGACAAATTAGGCACCTATCATAGAAAATAATCTTATAGTGATAGAAAAAATTAATATTGCTAATAAGTTACTTATAATAATTTTATTTGTCACAAAAAAATATTTTTTATTGCAATAATTTTCATTACAAATGTTACAATTGAGTGACAAAAAAAAATAGTCACAAATGCAATTGTTATAAAAAATTTAATCATTAATTATTAAAATTGATATTAAATAAAAAAGATACTTATATAATTACAACACAAATATTATAACAAAAATTGTCACAAAAAAATAATATATAAATTTATTACAAAAGTTTGATAAAAAAATATTATTGTTTAAATACTAATAAATTTTGATTAAAATTAATCAAACTCAATTAAAATTAATCAAGCACAAACTAATCTCAAGTTTTATTGAGCTTCACATGTTTTATATAGTGCAAAAATTTATTTTCTTAAATATTTTTCATCGATGTAAGATATATTTATAGTGCAAAACCTTATTCTCTTAAGTGTTTTTTATCGACATGAGATGCATTGATTAGAGAAAATTGATCATTTTTAGTGACAAAATATATTTTTAGTGATGAATTATTTTATCATCATTGAATGTGTAAGGTATATGTGACCAATATTAGAGCTCCATCATAATTGTAATGTACTATAGTGACGATTTTTATCAACAAAAACTTACTTTATCTCTATGAACATTTTTTGGTGACGAAATATATTTTTTATGATAATTTTTTTCTCATTATTAAATATGTATGCATCTGTGACTAATTTTTTAAATCTGTCATAATTGTGATAAATTATAGTGATGATTTCAAAATTTATCATAAATTTCTGTCATTAAAAATTATTTTTCTTGTAGTGAAACAGATAATTCTACAAAATATAATCCTTGAAGATTAATTTTAATTTAATAAATGCAAAACATCTTCCGGCTAGCCAACCCATTGAAAGAAACTTTGTCGGAAATTAAATTAGTTATCTATTTTTTTAGTATTTTTCATTATCCCATTTGTCTTTAATTTCTTTTAATAATCTAACATTGTTCTATCACACGTTAATTAAAAAAACCAATTAATTAAAAAAATTAATTGACTATAAGTGGAGAGGGTGAATATATATATATATATATATATTGCCTACATGGAAAGAAAATAGCTCTACTAATGAAGGTGACAATTTTTCTTTTTGGTGATCACCACTTGAATAATACTAATAACACAACAAGAAACACCAAATTCATTTTTAGTAATTAGAATATAATTGCAATTAACTTGGTAATTATATATAATATAAAAAAGTTTAGTGTATCACAAGAAAATGTATGCTCTTCCAACTAAAAATAGCAAAAATGATATAATTGCAATGGTTTTTTTTTTCTTTGATTCGTTCAAATATAATTGTAATGTCATTATAAATTTATAATTGTAATATATCAATATGTATATAATTAATTTTTTATTTAAAAATTTATTTATGATATTATATATATTTAATATATAATTAATTTTTTATTTAAAAATTTATTTGTGATATTATATATATTTATTTAATAATATATTAAAATTATAAATTTATAATTAAACGTCAAATTATAAATATATTATTATTACTAAAATCAATCAACTCGACAATTTTACCAAAGTTTCCTGTGTTTTTGTTTTTTTTTTCAAAAATAGGCAATGATGAGTTTGTTCATTTTAGTTGAACAACGACATCTACGTAATAGCAAAGGCTTTCTCT